CCCCCCCCCCCCGGTGATTCAATGATGGGATTCATGTCGATGACAAAGCTGTTCAGTATCAAACTCTAAATGATGCTGTATTTCTTATCAATCAGTGCGGTAAGAATGCTTTGATGGCAAACACTGACCTAGAATAGGCTTTTAGGATGGTTCCTATACATCCGAGAGATTACGAACTACTGGAAATGATGATAGATGGCCTATTTTATCATGATAAGTGTTTACCTATGGGTTGTGCGACCTCGTGTCAGCTGTTTGAGAAATAAAGTTAGGCCCTTCATTGGATAATGATAAATTAGTTTGGATGATTTTCTGTTTGTCGGTCGTTCCTTCACTCCAGACTGTAAGACTGCCCTTGATAATTTCCTGCAATTATGTGAGAGAGTTGGAATTCCAATAAAGCAGCAGAAAACAGTTCAACCTACTACTTGTCTTACATTTTTAGGCATCGAATTAGACACCAATTTGTTGTTAGCTAGGTTACCAGTTGATAAATTAGAAAAAAATCAGGAGCGTGTTGCAGCTTTTTATGAAAGAACAAAACGCAACTCTAGAAGAACTCCAGTCATTGATAGGTTGATTGCATTTTGCATATAGGGTGCTCATACGAGGGAGAGCTTTCCTGCGTAGGATTATAGACCTTACTTTGGGCCTGTAAAAACCGCATCATCATGTACGCTAAACAAAAACAGCAAAAGCAAATTTAAAAGTTTGGTTGTTTTTCATTCAGTATTTTCATAATTGTACATTCTTCTTACTAAACCAGTGGGATACGTCAGATGCGCTCCAATTGTTTACAGATGCTACTAACCTTGGGTACGGGACACTTATCGATCTTCCATATGGTTTTATGGGGCATTGGATGCACACTTACAATATCAATATAATTAATATCAAGAAATTATTTCCCATCACTGCAGCATTAGAGCAATAGGGGTCCTGTTACGCAATAGGTCTTCTCTGACAACCAAGCTGTTGTGGCAATTATTAACAAACAAATATCCCCTAACCCAGTAATGATGGTATTAGTGAGGCATCTGGTTCTGACTGCCTTAAAATTTAATATCCATTTTATGGCTAAGCACATAACTAGTAAACAAAATATGTTGGCTGATTCCCTGTCCCGTTGACAGGTCCAACACTTCCGGCAAACAGCTCCCAACATGGACACTCATGTATCATCCAACGATGATTCGGGATCAGCTGTTACGCATTTGAGTCAGAAAGTACCCCAGCTCATTGACTCCGCAATATCAAAAGGGTTAAAGCAACTGTACAGAAGAGCATTTACATTGTTTGCACAATTTGCAACTAATATGCAGTTAGAATGTCGTGTGCCCATAACAGTGCATGTCGTTGCATTTTTTATTGCCCATTTAGTAGAACAGGGATTGTGCCTACATACACAAATTAGGGGGATATCATGGTAAGTTTACCAGTTATTAAAGGTTTCGGTGTTTTTGTCCACTCACCCACGATAGTCATTAGGAGAATGGCATTGCATTTGATTATGAAATGTAATATATGGTACACCTTCTCAGGAGTGTGTTCAGTGCATGTATTGTAACATGTATTTTTAGGTTATGTCGTTTTAATAAAAACGGCCATTTTCAATCATTAAGTCTTCCTGGTTTTTTATTGACTATTGTACTATTACATAGCTTACTGCCTGACTGATAGGTGCGAACCATTCAACACAAATGGGAATAATGTCTACCCAATTAGAGGTCCATTGCGAGTTAGAAGTGTCCCCATCAAATTTAGATACGCTCCCCGGCGGAATCGACTTTACCGGTAGCTCCCGATGTGATACATGTAACATATTCCCATTTTTATTCAGAGTGTTATATTATACATTAAACACAGCGTTCTTTTCCTCTAAAGAACGTAAAGAGGTTGTGAGAGGATAACATATCACATTCTCTGTCACAGTGGAAACGCTGATTTTCTGTCAGGCTTAGATTTCAGCGTTGCTTTAAGATGTCCTATTATGACGTCATTATATTACATGATTTTATGAAAAGACCCACTTACGTGCTCTCAAAACGCCAAGCAAAGTTAAAGTTAATTCTTTAAAACACCCAAATATATTACATAAAACAACAATATTACATCCATATGGATCTTTAAAAATGAATACGTATGGTTTTAATTTAGTTTCGACGGGAATACAGGTATTATGCACCCGTTAACGGTGCTCTTATTCATGCGTACAATTCTAACTTGTTATGTACAATGTAGATAATTTGGATGTCGAGAAGTCATGTCGAGCGCTCAAGAAAATAATGATGATGATGTGTGCAAAGTATACGTTCGATGAACGCAAATTGGCTTCAACAATCTTTTTTTCTGCAGAAATAGATCTGTTGGAATAAAATACTCTTCATGAATTGAAATTCCCAAAGGGGCTTTATCAAAGTGTGAATGTTATTGCCCCCATGTCACCCATTCCCTATTCCCCATCTGGGGAGGGGTGCATTTCATATTGGTTGTATAGGGAAACGATGCTTTATGTCTTTTTTGGTTTGTTTTATCAGAGATCAATAATTCAATTTAGAATTATCATTATGTGATTGGATTATGATGGGATAAAAGATTAAAACATGAATCACCCCTGAGTCAAATGGGTCAAATTGGCTTAACTTTAACAATCACTCGGATATAGTGTTGTTATCATCTTGAAATTACAGTTGGATGGTTTGAAAATATAGAACCGCACACACCTCTAGAGCTGTAGGGGGTGGGGCCAAAAGGGGGTCAAATTGGCTAAAATCAGATATGCTGGAATCCAATCATCTTCATGGATCGAAATTGCATATAGTGTTTTATGAATATGGTGAATTACGCAATACCCAGGTCATTCTTTCCTCCACTGGACAATATTACGACAAAACATAATTGGAACAATTTTATAATTACTCAGGAGACCGTTGAGGTCCTTGTGCCTCTCGGTTACCTCTTGCGCTGATTTCATTAATTCGAATGATTGAAGTATGCAAATTATTAAGAATATTTTTGTGCTAATATGGTCAACAAGACGTTGCTTTTCTAAGATGATTTAATAAATTGTTCACATTGAGATATTCAAATATTCCGACATACTCAAACTATAACCGTTGTCTTAATGAGGGATCCGTGCTGAGCAAATATTATCAGTATGCGGTTTTCCCTCCAAATGACACACCCACGTCTTGTTTTTCAGCTATTTTCATTCGTTTATAACAGGAAAGAGAGAAGTGTGCCTCCACCGGGGGTCGAACCCGTAATCACAGACTTCCTAGTCGGACGATCTACCACTGAGCTTACTGGGAAATCCCTCTAGCGCGAAGCTAAAAGTCGACCGTAATCCTTTGTACAATTAAAATCTGCAAACTGAGTGTACATGTGGCAGTTTAGTGGCATTTGTTCCAGATAACCAATCCTGGGGTCCGTAGGATATATAATCATAGTGTATGGCTTGGTCAGAAAATTAAAATAGGAACAAGTTGTTGGACCCGGGCCGAATGGTTGTCAAAAAAAGGAACTCACCGAAAGTTGCGCTGGCTCGAAGTGGTGGGATGCCGAGTCTGACCAGTTCAAGGGTCAAAACTTCCGTCAGGACTGGCCAAATTACATTTATATCACCTCTAAGCCCGCCTGTTTACCATGCACCACCACACTGACCATTGTCACATGCAAACAAAACAACAACTTGCACGGACCGTACACTCTACCACCGAAACCTGTCGCACACTATCTACAAAACCAACCGGGCAATCCCTCTACCCAGACACCGCCAGTTGGCGCTAGTAACAATACGTACACAGCATGGACGTCTGACAAGGCACGATGAGGTACAGACACCACAACACTTACAAACAAAACACGTTCCTGCCATACGTTAGGGTTTTTCTTCATTTTATTTTTAAATCATATCCATAACTGTAACTTACTTATTGTTTCTTTCAATAGAAAACGTCTGGTTTTATTGGATCATAAGGACGCGCCTATGTATATTGATTCAGATAGAATATGAATTTAATACGGAAGTATCGCAAAATGTTCTGATTAAGAAGAAACACACAATGTACAACGTCAATGCCGCTTTTTCAATATTGCCAGAAAAAGATATATTACACTAGACAATAACAGTATGCAAAACAAAAGCTGTATACAACATAAGCAATCTTACAGCTTAATCAATATTTAAGGATTGACCTGCATTTTAACGGCGTATACGGTAGTATGAACGCAGTTGGCCACGAACATATTCTATGGTGCGCGTTAACTGCATTCATACTACCGTATACGCCGTCAAAATGAAGGTTAATCCTTATGTTTACATCATAAATAATGTCAAAATGCTATAAAAAAAATAAAAACATTCAAAGCGGGTTGCTAGGATGGTAACTAAGTTCTAGTGAATCTGCATCGATATATTTTTTTTAATTTTTTTTTTCATTCATTTTCAATTTTTTTACATGACATGATACAACACATATGGTACATATTTGTTAAGCTGTTAAAACTTCTTAAGAGTTGTTATTAATAAAAAAAAAAATCACTATGAACACATACTTGTCAAGCATGTACCTATATACAGAGACAAAAAATAATTCGCACACAGACACACTTACACTTACAGTTAAACACTCACACAAATTGATATATAAATAAATTATTAATAAATAAATGGTATTCGTGACATTAGGTATACAGACAAAAACCAAATGCACACAAAAGACAAAGGACAAGACATGTGGGACAAAACAATGACAAGGGAAACCTAGGTCAGAAAGATGTTATATTAATTTCTTTTAATTTTTAAATTTGCAACCAGTGAAGTATTTGTGTATTAATCTGTATTTTATTTTTAATATTACTTTTAGATATTAGAATTTTGTGAGATTTTAATTCGAATTTGATATGATTTTTTAGACCATTCATATTGAGTTCTATTTCAAGGCATTTTGATTTATATATGTATTGTTTTACCGTCAGTAGTATTAAGTTATCCAAGTTGAACTTTGAATATTTATTAATTTGCTTGCCAAAGATAAATTCTTTTTTATTAAATCGAAGACCAAGATTTTTAGCAATTATCGTAATTCTTATATTTTCTATCAAATTAGATACCTTTTCACAATCCCATAATATATGTGTTATTGTTTCTGGATGAGTTTTACAAAAAGTGCACATAAAATTAACTAATTTACCAATTTGAAATAAAAATTTGTTTGTGGTTAGGATTCTATGATTTATTCTGAATTGTAACCATTGTAGTTTGGCACTGGTACAGGTATTGAAAGGATATTTGTATATATTTTTCCATGTTTCTTCATCAATATTGAAATTTTGAATCCATTTATTTTGGGCGGTTGGTTTAACTTCATTTTTGATTAATATGGTATATATTTCACGAGCTCTTTTTTTACATCTTAGGATTAACTTGAGATTTATGGGTATACCTGGTAACATAATATTATTTTCTGAATCGAAAGCTTGGCGGTTCTTCCTTATGTACTGACCTATAACATTTTCCAGACTCTGATAACTTAAAAAATGGCACGAATGTTATTTTTTTCACAAAATACTTTTAAGCTGTATAAAGATCTATCTTTTTTAATAATGTTATGGATAAAATGTAGCCCTTTTTTTGTACCATGTATTATTGAAGATAACTTTTCGATCTATTTTTATTTCACTGTTAAACCATATTGGATTTTCACTAATATTTGTTTTGTATATTTTGCTTGCATTGATAGTTTTATACCAGGCATCTAAAACATCTTTCCTAAATACGTTTTTACAATTTTTTGATATTTCTTTCAATTTCTCAATTCCAATATTTGCTAATTTCTGTTTATCAAATAACGATTCCACAACAATACCCCAATTTCCTAGTTTACTATATATCCTTATGATCCAAGTTGCTTTAAGAGCAGTTTTGAAAGATTTTAGATGTATCATTTTAAGCCCCCCTTCTTCATATTTTTTTTATTATTATATCCCTTTTTACCTGATCTGGTTTACCATTCCATAGAAAATTGTACAATGTATTGTTAATTTGTTTAATATATAAGTCATCAGGATTGGGAAGCGATATAAACAAATGATTAAACTGAGATATTAGTAGAGTTTTGATAACAACTATTTTACCTATTGGTGTAAGTATTCTTTTGTTCCACACAGATATTAAAGACTTTAGTTTTGCAAGCTTTTTGTCAAAATTCAATTTGATAATTCTGTGTAGGTCTACATCGTATTCTATGCCTAATAGGGTGAAGTGTGCACTTCCTCATTTTAAGTCAAAATTTGTAGTAAAAGTGTTTTCACTGTATTTATTGCTGCCAATCCATATTACCAGGGTCTTGGAGAAGTTCATTTTTAGTCCAGAAATACTAGCAAAGTAGTTAAGAGTTTTTAATGTTTCATCAAAAGATTTTTTTGATATACTATAATTGTAATTTAATGATCTTAAAATAAAGGGTCCTACTTGCTTCCAAAATATTTTTAAAAATTCAACTGTAAAACTATCGGAACCAGGGCTTTTGTTGTTTTTCATTTTTAAAGGTGTGTTTGTTAATTCATTTATAGTAAGTGGGCCTTCAATATTTAATGATTCATTGGCAGATAGTTTGGGTACAGTGTATGATTCTAGAAGTAATTCAAGATTAACATTTTTAAGTGAATCGCGTTCTTTATATAAGGTTCTGTAGTAATTTTCAGTTTCTTTTAAAATTTCAGTTTGGTCAGATATTATTGGCCTATCATCTTTGGTTATATTTGGAATAATTTTGCTAGTATAGTTGCGAGATTCTAAATAACAAAAGTATTGTTTCTCCCCCTCCCCTATCCATTTTGCCCTTGAACGTATCATATTTTCTGTAATTTTGTGCTTTCTTATTTCTTCCAATTCCTTTTTTTTATCATCTAACTCTTTTAAAAATGTGTTGTTCGATACATCGATATATTGGTAAATTTAGAAAATACCCAATGAACAACACTATTTTTCCTCTTTTCTGTGAATTTTTAATTAAGTAATATTTGTAGCACTCCAAACATGTTTAACTATTTATAACTGTCGTTATGTACATGCATTGACACACTGTTCTGGTAGTGATGCGGTCGAACGTCGCAAAAGAAGCCACTGCCATTGTTTGCCCTACCGTCAAAAAACATTGAATGTGCCGTGATGCGGTCGAACGTCGCAAAGGAAGCCACTGCCATTGTTTGCCCTACCGTCAAAAAACATTGAATGTGCATCCATGGAATTAGAAGTTAGCCAGCATCATCAGAAATAAAGGATCAAAATATGTTCCATGTTTCAAGATGTTGAACGAACCAAGCAATGGCTGTCATCAAACAGTTATCGCGCTGAAGCATGAACGGCGCCATATTTACAGATATCAATCCGCCGAACCTTTTTCCAATGCGTATACGCTAATGTATACACAGTCGGAGTTTATTAAGCTGAAGAACGGGGAGATGTAAATATTATAAAATGTGTTTTAACTGTCACCAGGTGTCCCTAATTGGAATATCCAAGCTATCAGTTTAATTAAAATATGCTATAAGAATTGTAGTAATAATAAGGATCACCACAGCAGATATGTCTAGAATACGTTTCCAGAAAGGATTTTCCTCGAGAGACTGATCCTTTTCCTGCTGCACACGGATGTCCTCCATTTCCCAATCGCTGTGTTTTGCCTTGTCCCCAGTCGTCCCACACAACCACATTATAAACTGGTTTTTTAATCTTTTTGTTGTAACTTCTGTAAACAAAAAGGTTATAGTCTATTTCAGTATAAAGCGGATCTAAATGTAATTCATTATCTCGTTAATATTAGTAACTAGTGTAAGCAAATGTTCTTTCGTGTCATTCGTTCACTTAACCAGCTGTTATTTAGTAATAAAGATAATGTTTCTTGTAATTGACATCACCTTTCGATTCCGGACGCTGTATTTCAATATGACTCTCGGTTATATAATTAACATCTCCATCTGACTCTCGGTTATATAATTAGCATCTCCATCTGACTCTCGGTTATATAATTAACATCTCCATCTGACTCTCGGTTATATAATTAAAATCTTCATCTGACTCTCGGTTAAATAATTAACATCTCCATCTGCCTCGCGGTTATATAATTAACATCTCCATCTGACTCTCGGTTATATAATTAACATCTCCATCTGACTCGCGGTTATATAATTAACATCTCCATCTGACTCTCGGTTATATAATTAACATCACCTTTCGATTCCGGACGCTGTATTTCAATCTGACTCGCGGTTATATAATTAACAACACCTTTCGATTCCGGACGCTGTATTTCCATCTGACTCGCAGTTATATAATTAACATCACCTTTCGATTCCGGACGCTGTATTTCCATCTGACTCTCGGTTAAACTTTCCTCTTCTGTCCTTTTTGAACCTCTCCTACGTTTTCCTTTTTCATATTCATTTTGAGTTCCTTCCTCCTCGTCTTCAGTGTCGGGATCTGGAACCTGTTTGTCCTGCCGGGTCCACCATGTAACTCGTCTTAGCTGATAACAGCAACATGTTTTATAACAAAATTTAATAATATTAATATTTCACATCAAAGCATAAACGTGATATGTAGCAGTAAACACTGCATTGAATCTGCTGCATGATAAATAACTTGGTGAAATTAATTTGTATACCAAGGTATCACATCATAAGTATATCTATTTAAGTCCGGATAAAAACAAAAATAACTAAATGTTTGGAGGATCCTTGTTTAAAGAAAACAATAGTTTAGCATGGGATAAGTACTATTTAAACTTGTATAGTATGGCGTGTGTAGTACGGAGCATACAATGTAAAACTACCGATTACTGCCCTGGATAAAGGGGAGATTTACATAGCAACCATTGAAAAGAACTGAGACATTTAGACAATGTTTTATGAAGGTCAAGGTATTTTGCTTCATCGACGGAATCTGCCCAGTCATTCTACCTCAATGTCACGTTCTCTAAGCAAGAACCAGGATATGGAAAAAGAGCATGTGTTTGAATACAAAATCAACTTTGATGTAAGCGATATTGATACCAAGAAAGGGAACGTTATGATCGGAAAATCCCATTTATGACGTTAATTGTTCAACTTAGTGATTAGATGTCTCTTGTTGCAAGTAAATATCGACAAAAGACGGCTGATGAAATGAATGGTTAGTATCCTTTATTTTAAAAACTGGAGAGTATAGCCGATTGACCTGGTCAACAGTTTGCCTGTTATTAAACGATAGAACGTTGATAATAAATCTAAAAGTGAATTTGAAGGACTTGGCAAGGTTATTGTTACCAGTCCCGATCAGCTAATCAATGATAACAAACATGCGTGTATTACTACATGTAATCAACAGAATTAGGATCAACAGCACATCCTACAAAAAAAACTATAAACTAAACGCTGATATAACATGTACTGTATTCAAAACAATATATTTTAGTTATATTAACATGTCGACGAACTAGAAAACGCTTACCCGTCCCCAACAGGTCGTCTTATTATCTTCCTTTTTTTCTCAAGTGTGTCAATGTTAATCTTTCTTTTGTTCTACTATTGGCCTTGTTTGGAGGATTTTTAGTTGAAAGTTCGGTATTGTGTTGTGATTGGTTTGTTTATTTGTTTATCAACATGTTTCTTATATGCTTTTTGAAAATTGGCATTTTCTATGCAACTGATTATGATACAAAGTTCTGATGAATTTGAAAAATGAAATATGCAACAAATTGTTGCCAATCATATGAACCGTTTTAATACAATGTAGTTCAGGAAACATTTCCAAACTACTGTTACTGTTTATGTCCCTTACCCGAGCCAATGTTTCCGCGTGTAAACATTTGATTTCTGACTTTTTATTATCCTGACAGTGTTCCATGATATTCATACCTTCTGTCGCATATTGATTTGAATAAGTGAGTAATGATTTTTTTACATAATAATCAAGATTGAAAGTTCAATGCAATTTAGTAATTAAAACGTCAATATAATTGGCTCGATGTTGATCAAATGTACCATTTTTGTTTGTTTTTATTATAAACATATTTTAATACATATGTGATAAAAACTACTTTATTTATCATTTTATTGGTATCATATACGTAAATATGTATAATTACATACCTGGTATTTTTAATATTCTGCATAGAAACTTTTTATTAGTTGTTTAGTATGGTAACACACAGGTTAGAGTTACAAAAATGCAAATGTCATAATTCATGTGTCATGCTACACTATGTATTTGTAAGCCATTATTTATTTTTCATTTTTCTCGGGATTGATGTTAATTTAATCATAACTTTCTTTGACTCTCATATATTTGTAATCTGCTGGTATGTTGATAGTTTATTCCTTACTTAATATTAGCCAAATACTAAAAACAAAACCAAGCGCCGGAAATATTGATTAAGATGTATGGCCATATACCAATAATCGAGTTATCCAAAGGCATCCAATAGTTTTTTGTTGCGAGTAATCTCCCCTTTGAGCTCTTTAGGACTCACACAACTAAATCAGCCAATCAGCAAGTGTTTCATTCGTTTGTAGTTCCTATCTGAAATAAGTTCCGGCTAATTACTGGGCCACTAAAGAAGTTTAATAAGGAACTGATGACAGATTTTTAAATAAATGAAATGTTCAGGTATTTAACTTTTGAAAAATATATACTTTTGATATATGTCCATGTCTGTGTGCGGTCAATATACCGGTTTTGCTTGTAAACTTCCGGTTGTCAACTTCGTGGCGATGTGACACTCTAATATGCCACTAAACCTACCAAAAAAGTCATTTTGTAGCCTTTGCAAGGTATGTATTTATGAATCTTGACAGTTGTAACTAGTTTTGAACAACTTCGAATATTTTTTAATCCACAGAATACCGTCTACATCATTACAGAAAGCTTACAATTCAGAATTATTCCTTACAGCTCATATGGAAAAACATATATAACCCTGGGTTAAATTACATTTTAATATAGCGCAATAAAAAGTACTCAATGCCAGTGAGGAAGCGTGAGGTATTGACATTTTTTTATTTGTCGTAATTTGCTTTCTAATTTATAAGAGAATTATAAATGCAAAATCGCCAATATAAGTGAAACATGCTGTTTCTAATATCAGATTGATGCATACAAGCAATGAATATGGCTCAATAAATTGTCCTCTTACAAAATAACTTTTTATCCTTTTTATATTTTACTCTCGGATCATTTGATGTTTATAAGTATTATTTTTTAAGAGAGTCCTGTAAGGTATGGTATTCTTTTCAGTAATCAAAGACACAAGGTATGACAATGCAAGGTATTAAACAGAGCGTAGCCGAATGTATGTATACATTTAGCGTAGCCGAATCTAGCCAATTTTATATTGCCAACTCGTACATATTTCATATCTTTGTGTACATATGCTTCACTAATCATTTGTCTGATGAAGGTGACAGGGTACACATGCAATGTACGGTATTAGTGATAAAACCGTCATACATTTTGCTATTTGAACCTTTGTGATGAATGTACATATCGTAATCCTACCTTCACTGATTTAGCATATTATTCAGGTTAGATACGTTGATCTGTTGGCGTTAATCATTTGTGTTATGTCTCCGTAATTCGAACGCTTAGAAGACAGATAGTTTTCGAGGTACAATCAAAACGTACAGGTGATTATACCTCACTCACCACTAGGTGTCGCTAGGATAGCAAGAGGGTATAAATAGGCAGAATCCAGCGACAATCGGCCCAGTTCTGTTTCGATCTTGGCGTGTTCACAGCAGTGACAGATCGTAAGTACCTAATATATGTGAGACCGGCTTTGTGTTGGAAAGATAGAAGTGACTGAGTAAGTCTTGCCTTGATCCACACACTGCCTGGAAGATATATTAAATAAACGATTGAGTGCTGTAGCG